AAACAAATGTGAATGATTTGTCCTTGGTTTAATTTGGTAAGAGTGAGTAAAATGCATACCTTCTGTTGCATGAACTGCTGTAGCCGTTTGTATTTTTTTCTCTGTACCGTCTGGTGTATGGTTAAAAATCTAGTGGGTAGAAATTACTGTTTCCTTATTCTTGAAAGGATCAAGTCGATAATTCTCCGACCTTTCAGCAGCTTTGGTTCTGTACATTGTTTTATACTTACAAAACTTGTTAGTAGACTTTGACAACAAAAGATGGATTCACGCCCTTCACCTGAAAGTAGAGTCAGGTTGGTTAGATTCCTCTCCATTGCTATGAGAAGGTGAATCCCTCTCTTCTCGATAAGAAGACTCATTTTCTCTTTTTACGTCTGCAAAGATCACATCAGAAGAACCAGGTCATTGCAATGCCATCTCTGGAAAGGTGATGGCACCTCTCAGCAATGGCCACTTACACCCTTTCCTGTGTGCATTGTACAAATGTAATGTGTTTTGCTGCTATCTTGGCAAAGGAAACCAGGGTTCCACATGATCCTAAAGGAATCATCCAGTTTTCCCCCTTTGCCCCCATCCACTCCTCTGTCTCTTCACTTGTAGCCTCTTTGCCTGCTCCTTTCCCTCCTCTCTGTCCCTTCTGCACTTCTATGTTGTTTGTTTCTTACCTAGTCTAATTTCCCCCCCTCCTTCCTTATCGATACCTTCCTCTACCCACCAGCCTTGTCCCTGCTTTTCCTTCCTCCTTTGTCCTGCTGTGTCTCCTTCCCTTCTTTAGCAGAAGAAGCAACTGGACCCCAGAAGACCCTACTCTTTTGCCATGGTCCCCATCTTCACACCCACTGGCAGTAGCCATCTGCTTTGTGTAGTTTCCTTGCGTGAAATGCTGTAGCCCTGGTGATTGAACTAATAAAATCACTGCATCACAACTGAGTCGTGAGTCATTGTCCCTGTGACAGGGCGCCTGCCCTGCACTGGCCCTTTAAGACCAGGACTCAGGCCCTGAGCCGGGGCTGGGAACAGAGAGGCCAGCTGAAGCTGTTAGGCTAGTGAGAGCCCAGCTGGCAGCTATACAGAGAGAAGCACAGTGGTTAGGAGAGGAAGGCCAGTGAGGGGCTGACTGCAGAGGAAGCAGGAGCTCCCAGGAGGGAGACCCCGCTGGGGATAGCCAGGAAGGGATGGGAGAAGGCCAGCTAAGGCTCCCCTGGCTAGGGGCCAGAGACAAGGCCCTGGGTTTGGAGGCGGATCACAGCGTGGCTTAGGTAAGCGGGGCTGCGGAGATAATCCCAATGCCAATGATGAGCAACCCATACAGACTGTAACTTACCCTGAGAGGGGTTATATGAGGACAGTCAGGGGGCACTGAGGCACAGTGGGGGCTTGCACCCTGACAGTCCCCCCTTCCTCCTTATTTGGGCAGTAAGCAAAGTGATTAACCCCAAATCCCTGCCAGGGGAGCTGTAGGAGGAGGTCTCATTCTGGCTCTAAAAACTCTCAAATGAATCAAATTACACTTCAGATTTAGAGTCATCAGCTGGGCTCTGTGTGTTCCAGGCTCATGGCCCAGTTCTTACCTGTGATCTGGATGGGGTTGGACTTGTGCAGCCCTCGCCTATGAAAGCTGATGCCTGGGTCTCTTCCCAGTCTGTCTCCGTCTCTGTTGGTTTAGGACACTGCCCTTATAGCAGAATGTTCCGCTTCCATCACAATGGCCCTGTTCTGAGCAGAGCTGAGTAGGAATTGAATAATATAGTCGATTAACCAATTAACTGATAAGCAAAAGTGTATAGGTCAGTGCTATGGACTATACGTCACCCCACACACCTTGCCAGTACATTTTTTAGCAGGCTGGCCAGCAGCCCAGCCCAGCTCAGTCCTGGTTTGCACTGGGTCCTGGACCTACCCCCCTGGCACTGCATTTGAAGTGTATTAGGAACCAGGCAGGTAGGCAGCCCAGCTCGGTTCTGGCTCATGCCGGGTCTGGGAGCTCAGACTCCCCGCCCCCAGACAGAGGATATCTGGTCACTATAGAATAGTCAACTAACTAATAAGAATTCATGAGGTAAATCGACTAATCAATTAACCGATATTTAACATCCCTAGAGCTGAGTTCCTGCATCTCCCTTGGAACCAGTAGGAGCTGTGGGTGCCCAGCCTTCTCTCAGGACAATCTACCTTGGCTGTGTCTCATGGCGTTGCGCCATCAGTGCCATGTGGTATCCTCTCTCCTATATTGTAGGCTGATCACTGCAGAATGTACCACCCACCAGAGGTCACGGGCTTAACTGGAGACAGGTGGATACCAGAACCATCACACCACCCTTCCATGGTGCTGGGAGCCCTAATACAATGACACCTGTTGTGGGGTGCTTGTGTGTGTTGTGTTGTCGCAGCTCTAGCCATGTAGCCAGGCCAGCAGATCAAGCTGCCCGAACGATGACAGAGTTGGTTAGGTGGGCAATGGGTTTACAGGAAAAATAAAATCATTTTTGGGTCATTGGTTTGAGTACTGAGCCATTAAGTTCCTCAAGCATCACTAATAGCCCTCATTAGCATATTTAGAATGAAAACCAGATTCACACTTCATATTTCTAACTTCACATACAATAATGGGATATGTAATAATGATATAGGGAATACTGATTCAGCAGATTGTAACTTTAAAATCGATATGTTATATGATGCATTTTGCATGAAATGTCTTTGGCTTATTAATGTGTTACTCAATTTTTATAAAGCCTGGGGTGCAACAACTAGATGGGGAACGTGAGAACAATGGGAAATTCAACTAGGAGGTGGGAAATTCTAACCGATAAAAGGAAGTCTCCAAGGGGTCGCCGTGTTAGGACTCATTATTTTTGCAGATATTAACTGTGGTACCTTATAAACTAACATTTATTTGGGCACAAGCTTTTGTGGGTAAAAACCACTTTGTCCAGTGCATTGGAGCGCAAATTACAGAGGCAGGGATATATAATATACACACACTGGCATATCAAAAGAAGGGAGCCCCTTACTATGTGTAGGACCAGTGTTAATGAGGCCAATTCAGTCAGGGTGGATGTGGCTCACTCCAGCAGCCGATGGGGAGGTGTGAAGAGAGGGAAATTGCCTGTGAAGTGAGAGAACCATTCTAAATCCTTATTCCTAAATTAACACAATCCAATTAGGACTGAATAAGAGCATGATACACACTTTCTGGCAGAATTGCAAATGAACTCTCCAGAGTGGTTAGAAGCAAACTGAGAGATGATGGAACTGGACAAAGAAGCCGTTGAGTCTTGAAACAAGATATCACAGTGCACTAAGAGCTGTGATTTTTATACCATTTAATGCTAATATATGTCATGCCAGTTCAGAAATGTATGAAAAATACATCAGAGCAAAATAATTCAAATGGAAACAAATCCCGCAGACATCAGAACTGACATCACACAGTGTGTTCAAATTTCATCAAATTCTGAGACAATATATATGAAATCTATATGAGCTCTCTCTCTCTCTCTCTCTCTCACACACACACACATACACACACACACACACACACAGCTACTCTTCTACTTTCCTCTCTATATCTTAGTTTGTCACTTCTTTGCAAGCATCTGGGGTATGCTGCCTGGCAAATTAAAAATAATTGCTATCAATGTTCAATAGGTGGTGGTGTGTTTTAATGCAGAATGGCATTCAGGCTAATTGGTCACGAGAGGGCAGCACTGTTCCTTGCAGACTTCACTAACTTATCACTCTGAGGCAGAGAGACCTGAGATGTGTCTCTGGTACTAGATGCCTGTCTGGGGGAAGGAGAGGGTTTCTTCTTCTTAGCATAGACAACTCCTATCTCCTGATACAGAAGGGCACAATATAAGGAGGAAGCCTCTGGTGCCTCCTCTGTAAGGAACTTCCAGCCCCGCCTCCTTGGGCCCGAGCAGACAGTCCCACCAGTTCATGGGGGTGCTGGAGCCACATGAATGTGGATCGTGTGACTCTGGGCCTGTCTGGGCTGGGCTGAGCCTTCTCCTGGTACCTTCTCTGGTGACCCCCTTACCCTGCACCTACCCTGGGGAGTGCAATGCTCCACCAGATACCAGCATGTGTGGGGCTCTGCCCTTCTCCCACTGCACATTCCCCCAGCACATTCGGCTTCTGTCCATGGCAGCCTAGCTCAGAAGGGGAGCAGAATCTGCCATCTCCCCAGCCAGGGTCTCACAGGTACATGTTGCACTGCACAGAGTAGATATCAGGCACTGAGACGCTAGGGTAAAGTCTCCATGTATGTCCCAGGAGATGATCCTCTTTCACTTACCCTTTAGTCCTGCTGTTCTGGGCTTGAGAAGAAGCCCCATTTGGGTTGGCCTTCCTGGCTGAAGCCCAGATCTGCATTGTTCTAGCACATTGTCCATACATGACACAACACATTTTGGGTGTCTTTTTAAAGTCCCATCCCCTCCTTGTAACACTGAAATAAATGTGCAAAATTAAGCCCCACCCCAAAGCCTTAAATGCCCTAAGAAAAAGCGGTGAGGAATCCTGTGGCACCTTATAGACTAACTGAAGTGTTGGAGCATAAGCTTCCGTGGGCAAAGACCCACTTCGTCAGATGCATGTAGTGGAAATTTCCAGAGGCAGGTATAAATATGCAGGCCAGAATGATCTACAACCCATCCTGGACAATGATCCCTCACTTTCACAGGCCAGTCCTTGCCCACAGACAACCCACCAACCTGAAGCATATTCTCACCAGTAACTACGCACCGCACCATAATAAAACTAACTCAGGAACCAATCCATGCAACAAACCTCGGTGCCAACTCTGCCCACATATCTACCCCAGCTACACCATCACAGGCCCTACCCAGACCAGCCATACTGTCACTGGTTCATTCTCCTGCACATCTACTAACGTAATATATGCCATCATGTGCCAACAATGCCCCACTGCTATATACATCGGCCAAACTGGACAGTCCCTACTGTTAAAAGAATCAATGGACACAAATCAGATCTTAGGAATGGCAACATACAAAAACCTGTAGGGGAACACTTCAGTCTCCCTGGACACACAATTGCAGATCTAAAGGTAGCCATCCTGCAGCAAACAAACTTCAGGACCAGACTTCAAAGAGAAACTGCTGAGCTACAGTTCATCTTCAAGTTTCACACAATCAACTCTGGATTAAACAAAGACTGTGAATGGCTTGCTATCTACAAAAGCAGCTTCTCCTCTCTTGGAATTCACACCTCCAGATCAGCTACTAGAAGTGGGCCTCATCCTCCCTGATTGGATCCACCTTGTCATCTCCAGCCTGATTCTGGCCTGCATATTTATACCTGCCTCTGGAAATTTCCACTACATGCATCTGATGAAGTGGGTCTTTACCCACGAAAGCTTATGCTCCAACACTTCAGTTAGTCTATAAGGTGCCACAGGACTCCTCGCCACTTTTTCAAGATTCAGACTAACACGGCTCCCCCTCTGATACTTAAATGCCCTAAGTAATTTATGGACAGTCCTTTATAACTAAAAGCTGTCCTTGTCCATTTAGACTGCTCCATCAGCACGAGGCAATTCCAACCCATGCCTGGTGGGATTTCCTTTCAATCAAAATATTTCAATTCAGACTTCAATTGAAAACTTCCATTCAGGTCAAACTTTTCTGGGCTTACAAAGGGAAAAAACCCACAGATACTGGAAATGAAATAGGCTGCAGTAAATTCTCTTGGGGAGGGTCCATTTTTATCAATTTTTCCAAAGTTTTTTTGATTTTTTTCATTGAGAAGGAGGAACATTTCCTCATGGAGACAAGTCTTTTTGTATTTATTTATTTTATTTTAATCCGCCCCTCCCCCCCTCCAAAATAAGTGATTCTG